GGCGTGCGGGTGTAGCTCTGTAGCGTCGTCGACCGATGGATCGCAACGTGCTTTTCAACGTACGAGGCAAGGCACTGCTCGGTATACCATTGCTCCGTGAGGAGCCCATACGGGTACGGCGAGTCCATGTGTGCGTCCAGCGGCACCGAGTTGATAACGCCGCCTCGGTCACGAAACGTCGTCCGACAGGCGCGGAGGCATCGCTCGTGCAGAGCGTCGACGACGCCATCGTAGGCTTCGAGCAGCTCGAGCGACCGCGGCCAGAGCACCGAGGCTTTGTTTGCATCACAAGTGCCGGTGCACGATCGACGATTGCAACGTTGGTGACGCCTTGCCGCACCAGCTCAGCAGCAAGCGTCAGGCCAGTTGGGCCAGCGCCAACGATGAGGACGTCGACGCGAGATGGGATAGCAGACGATGGCATGGTCAAGCGAATGGAGTGGAAGCGTGTGCTGGACGTGGGCAAAAGCAATGTGGTCGATGTGGAACTGGCCGATCTTGTGGATCTATCCGGATAAAATGTCGTATGCGGAGGATTCGGACATTTGGGTAAAACGTGGTCGATCGCGTCGATTGTGATTTTTGCAAATGCCATCATCACACGACAGCACCGTCGACAGATTTCGCACGTGGGAATGACATTATCATGCATGGAATCGCTGACGTCGTCGAAGGAAGAAGAAGGGCGAAGGCCGACCGCTTAAAGGCAGAAAGACACCCAGCACGAGCTTGGTAAACCCAGCGCTGTGTGCGTACCGGTACTACATGTGCGAGCGCAACCCTTAGCGTGTCGAGGCCCCTTTCGTGAGACGTTGTAGAGGACATGGACTTCTCCTAGACTCGGCGAAATACAAAAACGGGTCCACTCAACTCAGCGCTGCGTGTAGAGTGATGCTGCAACGCGTTCAAATTCTAGTTGCTTACAAAAGGACCAGATAGTATGCGCTTGGCGCAATGCGAGCTAAATATTGTCTTTCCCATGTCATCGATACATAGATCGAGTCAGAGTATGACCAGAGGTTGCCTGTATGTAAATGCACTCAATACAAGATGACAGCATCAGCAGTGCCCTCTTCCCCTTGTTTGCTGTGAAGCTATGGCTTTGCTGGAGTATTACGTGTTGACGGCGGACGGCACCACAAGGCAAGAAGAGCATCGAAAGTAAAGGTGTGCGGCGAGCTTGTTGCCTTGCTCGAGGATAATTATGCAGGTATGCTTGGTGAGAGACTGAGATTGGACGTCGACTGAGTACGAAAATCCCACTCTACTAGTACACGAATGGAGCTAACGCTGGAACTGCCACCCTGCGAAATAATCAACGTCTTGGTCCTCCAACACATTGTATTTGCTCGACCGTGCTGGACTTTGTGTGTTGGCCTCTTCGTCTTCCGCTTCGTGTACCCTGGTCCGTGACTATTACGTATAAGCTCGGATTTGAAATATCCAGAGGATTTGTTGCGATGCAGAATTGATTTTCACAATGTACACATTTTATTCATGTCACTGACTACTTGCCACAGTAGTTGTGCTGTTTATACGAAACAGTTTACGCTTCATCGCGCTTGGGCGTCTCGATATCGACGCTCTTTTGGGCGCGGACCGGCGCGCCGTTGCCAAAGAGGAGTTCAATGTCTTCGAGGAGGAGGCCCTTGGTTTCCGGGCACTTGAACCAGACGTAGACACCGGCGAGCGCGCAGAGAGCTGTGAAGAGGAAGAAGACGCCGTTGATGTTGAGGTACGGGAAGAGCTTGGGGATGCCAATCATGAGCGAGCCCATGCACCAGTTGGTCATCGTCGACGCCGACACCGCCTTGGCGCGCACGTTCATGGGGAAGATCTCGGCCGGGTAGATCCAGCACACGGGACCCCACGAAATGGCAAAGTTGAAGATGAAGAAGGCCGTAAACACAATCATCGTCCAGCCCGCGCCCGTCGAGCAGTCCGACTTGCTCGTGTCGCCCTTGCAACCCGCCGTGAACGAGATGGCAGAGACCAAGTGACCGATGACCATGCCTGCAGCACCGACGAGGAGGAGCTTGCGGCGACCGACCTTGTCGACCCAGTACATGGCCGGGATCGTCGAGAGGAAGTTGACGATCTGGAAGATGAGGAGCGACACGATACCGTCACCGACAACATCCTTGAAAATCTGACCGCCGTACGTGAAGATCGGGTTGATGCCGGTGGCTTGCTGGAGGAGCTGGAGCGAGCAAGCGATGAGGAGGCGAGGGCGGATGGACGGGTGCCAAAGGTCAGCCCACGTCGACGTGTTGTCGCCTTCTTCTTCAATGGCGTCACCGATGGCCTGGAGCTCGGCACCGACGTTCTCGGTACGACGAAGACGCTTGAGGGCAGTCTCGGCTTGGGCGCGGCCCTTGGCCTTGTACATCCAGCGCGGCGACTCGGGCACACAAAAGATACCGGCCATGACGACAACCGGGAAAGCCATCGCAACGGCGTTCGTGACGCGCCAACCGTGCTCATCGTACTGGACGACATAGTTGATGATACCGGCGAGGAGGAGACCGGTGACGATCGACATTTGCATGAAGCCCGAGAGCATACCACGGAGCTCCTTCGGGGCCATCTCGGCACCAAAGATGGGCAGCGAGAAGGACGAATTGCCGACCCCAAACCCCTGGATAATGCGCGCGATCAAAGCGAGCGTGTGGCCCATCTTGTTGGTGAGGACGAGCATGAGCGTGCCGACGCAGAAGAGGACACCAGCCGAGAAGATGGTCGCACGACGGCCGTACTTGTCGGCAATGTAGCCGCCGAGGTAAGCACCAACGATGCAGCCCATGTAGTAGAGCACGTTAAAGAGCGTCGTGAACGTCGACCAGTTGTCCGGGAGGTCGGACGACGAGGCGCGGCACTGCGCGCCCGTATTGCCATCGTAGCCGATGCAAAAGTCGTTGAGGAACGAGTCCATGACGAGGACGCCGCCGGTGACGCCTTGATCGTAGCCGAAGAAGATACCGCCGAGGGAGGCGAAGACGCAGACGACGATCGCGTACGAGCGGGAGCCTTCCGTGGGCGTGTCGTCGGCGCCGCCGCCAGGGAGGATCGCAATACCGCCAGCCATGGTCCTTTGGTTGGAGGTGGCAGAAGAAGAAGTGAGTGACCTAGAGATCTAACGAGGTGGCGCAGAGGCCAGACAGGTCATGTGGCGTCACCCTACCGGCTGGGCAGCCAAAGGCATGGTCCCGAAGCAGTGACTCGCGTGATGTTGAAGAAGAGAGTACATACCTTGAAGCCTGCCATGCGTGTTGAAGTTGGCCTTCTGTGTTGAAGTTGGTCATATGGGTGCGTCCTCGGCAAACGATTTATACGACTTTTTTGTATCCACCAAACCATCCAGTACTGAAATACTAGCACCACGTGATATAGGTCGCAGCCTGGGCGGCAGAGTCGCGTTTGATTGGCCAGCGAACGATGTTATAGGACTCTAGATCACGTACTACCGATAGTCATGTCTTTAAAGTGGCTACACATGGAACCGTTTCATATCGACACGTTGGCAATAGAATCGTGCACCGTAAATTCAGTGCGGCTTTCGCCTCGTTGGTTTCTCTATTATGGGCCAAAACATCGTTTTCAGACACTGGCTTTGGCACCTCGCACTGCATCGTGTACCTGGTGGTAAAGCAATGCATGGAGAGAACGTACTCACGGTCATGTGTCTTCGCCCTGGATCTCTGGTGTATGCTTCACCGCCGTGTTGAGACCCAAGCCCTGAGAGGAGGCTTGGACACAGTGATGCAAATTGGAGAGTGAATTATGTAGTTATGGATGAACTGGTCAATATTGTCGTAGACACGCAATACAAAAGACACGCAGGACCAGCTTGGAGAAATGGGGACGAGGCGAGAAGAGATTCGGAGCGGGGACGAGGCGAGGGAGACGAGGCGCAAGAGACGGAACGAGTCAAAGACATGTTGTCGCAGGTGCGCTGCACCACAGGTGCCTCGCATGACGTCAGTTGCATGCAAGCTCGCAAGATAGGCACGCATGCAGTCAGTCACTCGGAGCATCGGTCGGCGGTATGCCGAAGAAAAACTCCTTCCGACGTCCTATAGTGTATTTCCTGCTATGCATTTCAGGAGTCGCGCTTGTTCCCAGCAATGGGTGGGTGTGGCGAGGCAGGTCGAGGCTTAGCAGGCCGAAGCCAAATCGAAACTACGTCGAGGTTTGGCTAGCCTATGCCAGCTCCTCCTAAAGTCACATCTGCACAGCGTCCAACGTCAAAACGGGCAGCGACGACGGCGTTCTTCCGCCGCATCACGATCGAGCCGAGCTCGTAAGCCCCGAGTAGACTGGGGAGTTGTCGAAGGTACGATCCAGCTATGGTAGGGTTACGTCCACGATAATGCGTTTGGGTGAGATTTGACAATCAACTGGGATCCGATGACTAGGGCCAAAGACCTCATTCGGTCCCTAAACGCTGATCAGGGCATAGCCAGTCCGGTAACATGCACAACCTACATCGTCAATGTTGGCCTCGAGTGCGGCAAGAAACCATTCAATAAATACTGATGATAGCATGCCTAGTGATATTTATGCTTTAGCAGAGTCGATGGACATTGCCAGCGAATGCTGTCTTGAGCCTCCATTGTTCGAGTCTAACGACCTCTCTTTGATAATGGCGTGACGCATTCCAGCCTCCGGATAGACTACGTGGCAGCTCGTGGGCAGTTTTGGGCTTCTGACGCATCTAGTGCATCGATAGCATACATACACACATCTGAAGGTTGGACTCAAGTGCCATTACTAGTATACTAGTATGCTACCGTAGTATACCAACCTGTCAGATGCAGTGGAAGCGAAATGTCGGTTCTCACCTTGAACGACTCCTGGGCTGTCTTGTTGTTCTGGCAAAAGCCCATCACGTTATGCCCACTTCATGGTACAGCACGCCAGGATGACCTGTAGTCCTGTCGTGAACAGCCGCAGAGCTCGACCAGCAAGACAACAGGATTCACAGCAGACTGGGCGAGCCAAGGATGTCGTTCAAGTCCTCTTGCGTTAAAGAGCCAAATCTTACCGCTGAAGAACTCTACAATTTCCCTCCTTTGGTGACGAGTGCTCCTTCCGCTAGCCTACGAAGTACTAGTACAATACAGAAGCAACGCTTCAAGGCAGAACCGCTAAACCGACGTGACGATTGCGTGCCACTGCAACCGGTGCCGGATGGTTGTTGCATTATCCGGACAGCTGACACGTGAAAGACCCGCCACCATGACGGTCGGCGTCGTCATGCAGTGGACGGCCGAAGGTAGACGCCATGCGCAT